CCACATTTAATTAATCCGCCAAAATGGGGGGATTATGTGAGTGTGTAGGGGCGAAAAGTCGTCCACGAGGTGTCGGCTTTTTTCGACGGCCGCAGCCCGTACAAAATTGGTCATTTCGACGCCGAACAGCTCATTCGCAAGGGCTACTGTAGGCCCGTTATTACTAAAAATTCTATATAATTAATTAATTTGTTCTATTTTCTACCTACAAAAGACTACGAATTCCGAAAACTGATCCAAAAAGCACCTACAAAAACCAAGGTAAATTCTAATAAATTTTTAAAGGGATGGCGAATTTTTTGAGATTTTTAAGCAGTCATTTGGTGGGCGGCGGGGGTGGAAAAGTTCCCGTTATCCCCCAAATTAACACAAAACGTCGCTAGGCGCTTGACGTAATGGGGGTGGCTGAATTTGGCAGGGGGCGCTACCCGGGGGCTATTTAGAGGCGCGCGGGTGTTAATCGGAATCTTGTTGCCAACTTCCGGCTTGCGAGGCGTTTAGTTTGCAACTTGAATATCATCACTAAGTATTCTGAGAAGGCAGCCATCTTCTCGTCTAGTTTTAAGACTCAAATGATTCCCGAATTTTTCTTCGTTTCTTTACCGTCTGGCACCGGAAATGTGAGCAATATCAGGGCGCGAATTGGATTAGGCGCCCAGTAACCGTCTATGCGAGCTAGCAGAAACCATTTGATCGGCTTTGGAAACTGAAAAAAAGCGATTTTGCTTAACAGAGGTCAAATTTGGGGCTATTTTCCATTATCGAGGCATAATCCCGACAGCCAAAATCCCGACAGTCAACTTTCCGACATCAAATCCCGAAAGACGAAACCCCTGCAATCCAAAATCCCAAAGGCCGAAATCCGAACCGTCACTTTCCCGACTGCTATAATACCGACAAAATCCCCAATATACGTCACGCAACTTCCGTTTTACAAACCCATTTTACGTGTCGGTATTTTGGTTGTCGATATTTATGTTTCTCTAGGGGCAACTAGCAGTGACAATTTGATGAGCCAGAGCAGTAGGATACTCAAATTCGAGTGCACTTGATTTTACACAGGTTCTTTTATCCGTTTCTGATGTTTTCCTCCTCGAATTTTTCCTATTTTCAAGCTCCCAATTCCACGTAGAGTCCAAATTCTGGCCCCTGGCCCCGCTTCAGGTGTTCCTATTTTCAAAGGCCCTTTCCTTACCTATCCCAACGATGGGGAGGGGCCCAATCAAATTGCCCCCATTCACCGTTCTTATACCTTTTTCGAAGGCAAAAAAAGGTATGGTGAGGGGGGGTTGGGCAGAAAGTGTCCCCGGGGGATCTCAGTGTCTGTCTGTGTGTCGTATGTTTGTCTGTTTGTCATCTCTACCAGTTGGGGAAGGGGGTGTAGAGACAAGAAAAAGGGGAAAACAGAAACACACCCAGCCGCTTCGAGTTCGTCCCCCCAACGCCAGCGTGGGGATTTGCCGATTCTGACGGGGGAGTACTTTGGGATACTATTGACACCTATGGAATTCTGTTTTATTTGAATACTGTATTCCACTCCTAAAAAAACCCAATTACGTATATTCTTATTCATATATTCCATCACGACCTGAGATAATTAAAGTGATCTACAGTACAACAAAAATTCCCCAAGTTTCTTACTGTATGCTATCGAATTATCGCCTGATTTAAGTCAATAACCTTTGAAGATATTTATACAAATACTTCTATAGCTATAGTATTAATTTTTGGCAGGGCTACGGTGCCAAAACACGACTGTAGAACGCGAGAATACACTACTATACCCTATCCGCCGTGCCTAGGTTATCGATCCATACTCAAGACTACGTTACGCTCCTAAATCCGCCGGTTTTCAAAGCCGATATCCTGTAAAGTGTCATTTCTACAGTTTTCGATACTATCCAGCCACCAATACCATGTCTCCGTTCAGGTGAATACCGCATTATTGGCATACTCTTTTTTTTGGTTTTTGTCTTTCTCTTTTGGCTTGGCTTTCCTCACAACCCACGGCTTTCCGAATTTGCATACTACGACCTGCTGCCTCATTTATTTAATTTCCTAGTTTCAGAATGATCTCGTTGAGACGCACGAGCACAAAGCGGTTACATAGACTGCCCTCAAAACCTGGCGAAGTCCTGCATGAGGGCCAGTCCTGCCCGAATAGTCCGGCGGTAAAAAAGGTATTTTTCGTTTATGTTTGAATTATTTGATAAGGCTAATAACTATGCAACTTTTTTTAGCATCCTTAAAAAACTTGCCTTGAAAGACTTAGACGATAAATTCACTGTGTTTCGGCTCCCGAATTGCAGATTTTTGACCTGTTCGCTTTAAAAACGCGGTAAACGCTTGTATTTAAAAATCTTGGAAATTTTAAGATTGAAAAAGACTTAAAGTGACTGATAATCGACACAGTTTACGGTTAAAAACCGTATTAAATCGATGAGTCATTTACGCTTTTGGGTACCCCAAAATTAACCATTTTTCCAGGCGTATCGGCTCGTCGTCGTCGGTTCCCCGCGAAGCGGCAAAACCGCGATGGTAGACCGCTTCCTGGACCGCGAATTCCAAGAGCGATACATCCCAACGATAGAAAACTTTCACCGAAAGTTATATAAAGTAAGGCTTTATTTTAGAAGTAAAACTCCGATTTTCAGATCCGCGGCGAGGTGTATCAACTCGACGTCATCGATTGTAGCGGAAATGATCCATTTCCTGCTGCGAGAAAATTATGTTATTTATCGGGTACTGTAGCTGGACTATATTTAAATTACCGTAATACTTAAGGTGATATGTTTCTGGTGGTGGCCTCCGTAGATCAGCCATATTCCATCGAGGCCATGACGGATTTAGCGAACCAGATTGTGGATTGTAAGGTAAAGAATAAACGTGTTTTTTTTAAACTGCCCCCGAAAACAAGCTAACAGGGATCCTTGCGGAAAATTGTGCATTTATTAAGTTATATTTTACATAATCTACATAAATATCATTTCAGTCAAACAACTCCGAGTCCCGGGTGCCAATAATTTTCTGCTTGAACAAGACGGATTTGCCGGATAGCCGATGGGAGGTAGGAATTTAATACGAATTTTACTAAGGATGTTACGGATTATTGTCGTTTGTAAAGATAATTCAATTAACGTACATGTTAATTAGAAATATTGAGCTTTTTAGGTGTCCCAGGGGGAAGCCGAAGCGAGATTGGCTCAAACAGAGTTTTCCATCGAACAATTGTATCAGTGTTCAGCGGCTACCGGAGAAAATGTTGATAAGGTACGATTTGAGTCATTACTGTCGCTATATACCTTCAATTTGCATTATTAAAAAATTATCGTCTTATATCATGCTTTTTAGGCCCTAGGAAAGCTCTTCCAAATGGCCAAATGCCCCAAACACATGAACCCCGAGTTGCATAAAATGCTGAGGAATGAGTTGTCGGCCGATGGAGGTAGATTTTGAGCTAATTTTCAAGTTTTCATTGAGCTCCTTCAGAAACAAGTACATCTACCGGGTCGAAAAACGTGTTGCGGCGGATGCGATCAAAATTTAGCAAGGACGGCGATGACGAATTGGCTGTGTAAGTAGCTGGCAAAATAGTGAACTTTGGAGCGTAGGGCAGCATTAAAGGGACTGGTAAGGCAAATGTATGAATTTTTGGGTATGGATTTACGATGTTTAGAGCAGTACAAAAAAAAAATAGTCCGTAAAATCTGACATACCTGCCAGGGTCCTTTAAAGAGATTTCGAAGCCAAGCTGAGGTCGCGAGACAAGTAGATGCCCAATTTTTGAAGGCGGCTTTAGGTTCCAATTTCTTATGACCATTTCGTCCCCCTCTAAATTTTCCCAAGAAAAGCGACATCCCGATTTTGAGACATTCCACCGGCTGTCACCACGACGCGCCGTAATGAACCATTTAGCCGGCGGGGCTGACCCAAATCTATTGGATCGGACTCGATCTCCCATGCGGGAAATCGGGCACGAATTAGGGAATGAGGTGTTTGAGATTCTGAACGGAATCGGGATATGAATCAGCCGATAGGCGGTTTATGGTTTGGGTTTAAGAAGGGTTAGATATCGATAAAATTGAGAGAGAGAGAGAGAGAGGGCGGGAGGGAGGGAGAGCGAGAGAGAGTGAGCGAGAGTCTGAGAGAGTGAGTAAAAGTGAGCGCGAGAGTGAGATGCCGCAGAGAGAGAGGCAGCGAGAGAGAGAGAGAGAGAGAGAGAGAGAGAGAGAGAGAGAGAGAGAGAGAGAGAGGGTGAGCCAGAGAGAGTGAGAAAGAGGGAGAGGGGGAGAGAGCGAGAGAGAGAGAGAGTGAGAGAGAGGGAGGGAGAGAGGCGGAGAGGCAGAGAGTGAAAGAGAGAAGCCGGGCGCTTTGTCGGCCCTTTAAAAATACCTCCCTGCAAACACCCCTTAATGCAGAAAACATTTTCAGTTTCAAATTCGTCAATTTTCAGCTATACCGACGTCAACGCCAGACGCCCATCTCTTCGCACAGATCTTCTGATGAATCGTGCCAAGACCTCGGTCCACAAGCGTGAATCTAACGGATTCCGCGGCGATCCGGCGGCCAGCGCAAAGTGTACCATCATGTAAATCGACCGATTTCGCTTGGTTTCTATGTGAAAATTGAATTTTCCTTTCATTTTCGCAACCTCTACAAAAAAAAATAGCTTGAAGGATATGTATAATAGCTAAAAGAATGTATTCATCGTTCTTACTTATCGGGTATTCATTTTGTGCTTTTAAAGGGGTTGTCAAGTCAATTCCGACTTCCCAAGTCCCTTAAGAGCAATTTTCGAATGCATTGGCTCATTTTATATGTTTTTATGACTTTATTATGTTTATAAGTATCGCTGTACACTCAATAAATCGAAAAAAACAGTGCGTAAGGCCGGGGACGAGAACAATCGAGTGGAATGTATGCAAATTACTGCTGCCGATGAAAGGCTGGTGGGACCCGAAGAGTAGCTGGGGGGATACGGTGATTGGGGGCGTTATTTAGCCGGCCGTGCTGAAGGTGGGTGTGTATTGGCACGCGTTGTAGTCGACCGGGGAGATCATGTTGAACGCCTTCGTCATGACGTTGATGTAGTCTGAAAGTTATTGAACGTTATTTTAGGGGCTCTCGAAAACGGATAAATTGATTTTAGATTTTTTTGGAAAATTCCTGGCTTTTTAGATTTAGATCTAAATTCTAGTAAAGCTTGAAAAAATTCAAAATTTAGTCACATCAAGTATATTTGATGCAAAAACGAGCAAGGACTTGAAGGCAAGCTAGCATGGATCGTTTATGAAGCTGTTTCTACTTTTCGAGGCCTGAAACTCACTATTGGCCTCCAGGAATTCAAGCACGTTCTTCATGTGCTCCTTCTGGAACCGAGCCGGATCTCTGGCGATGACGAACACGGGGAAACGGACCTAAGAATTAATTAGATCGTTTTTTGCCACATCTGTAGTACGGATTAAAGCAAAATGCCGAATTTTTGGCCAAATACTAAGCCAAAAATACGTTAAAAACGGCTCAATTCCTTACCCAGTTAGACACAATGGCGTAGTCGTACTGGTTGTACTCGTTGAGCGGTCCCTTCTTGATGATCCAGACTGAAAAAAATTGAGTTGTATTTTTGGAGTTTGTTGTCTATAGTTTTCTTCATTAAAAACGATAACAACTCACAAGGCTCAGCGTCGGGGGCATTAGATGTGTGGAGCACGAACTGGCCGGTCTCGCCGCTCTTGAATCCGTAGCCCAGGGAGAATCTAGAGCATCGGAGTATTCAGGATAATAAAAAGAATAAACTCTCATTTTAAATGGCTATAGTAAATGCCTGAAACTTAAAGAACCGTTGAAACTCATACCGTGGGGGTCCATTAAGCGTTTCTTTCGCGGTAGAACTTCAACAGGGTGAAGGTGGCGGCGTAGGTGCTGTTGCTCTGAGCTCCGACTACAAAAATAAATATCAAATTTAGTTCGCTTAAACCTAGGTTTTAAGTAGATTATCCATGCGAAAAAAATCGAAAAATCACGCTTTTCAACTTTAAAAACACCTCAAAAACCCACAGTGCAGCACGGTGCACGCCTCGCGGATGACGTGCGGGCTGTTGATGACCTAAACGAAGTATGAGATACTCTTTTGAACTTAGATGAAAATGGTAATAGGTATATAAAAACGTTAAGATACCTGGAACCAGCGTCCCATCATCCTGGCGGTGTCAACATTCTCGGCAGCGGGGTGGATGGCCTTGAAGACGTCCTTTGCGAGGTTCTTGGCAGAGTCCTGGAAATTAAGATCGAGTTTTAAGGGCCTTTTGTTCGGTATATTCAGCATTTAATCATCATTATGTAGTTTTAAGCTTTATTCCTAAGCTACTTACCTTGGGCAAAATTCGGCTAATCGAGGAGCCTAGAAGAGTGTTGGCCGGTGGGATCATCTGGGGGACGAGTTGACCGACCTGGAAAATGAGTACAAGCATTAAGAGAGACAAATATGTATTATCAGATTCCCAAAGAATCTCTGCTTGTTTCCGAGGCTCAAAACTTACAATATAGTTAAAGTTTGACAGCCCGGGGATGGTGTTGACGCCAGGTACGGTGGGTACATCTTGAGGTCCTGGGAAGCCGGGCACTGGGATCGGAGCCAGACCGGGGATTTGGCCGGAGGCGATACCTTAAAAATCGATAGTTCGATACCTATCAATTTTCGAAGCCTATTATACGTTTTTGTGATACTGTATCGCAACCTATACAGTTTTTCGCGTCTATCGATACCTTTTTGATACCGTTCGGTTTCCTTTACGATTTTTTGGCAGACTACAACCTACAAGCTACAACCTACCCTGAAGATCCACTCTGTTTGTGGCAGCTTCATCAACGATCGAGTTCAGGTCATCGCTCTGGTAGTTGAAGTTGGAGGGGGGAGCGCGGCGTGTATCCCCGCGGAATCCCATACGGGTCAGGATGCTCTCGGCGACTTCTCCGACCTAGAATTAAAAGCCTACTGAATTAAGGTATCAAAAATACCTTGGCGAGCTCCTGTCGCTGCTTCTCATTGAGCTGAGGGGCTGGGGTTGGGTCTTGGATGGGTTGAATGGGCTCGACCTGAAAAAATTTTCGTTTACGCACTTTAAAGAGATAAAAAGTCTACTTAGACCTTAAAGTATTTCATATACTGCTCATTAAAGTGGCTATTTTTGATCTTCTAAAAAATACCTTCTCTTCCTTGACCTCCTTGACCTCCTTTTCCGCCGGTGCCGCCAAGGCGGTGGCTACAAATAAAGCCAAGAAAAGACACCCTCATTCTGAAGATATAGATAAGTACTATGGTATAGGACGGTAGCAGCCTACGATAGAAAACCACTAAAAGCCTCAAAAAATCTATATACTGCTTTGCAAAAATGGAAAACGGTGAGAGAACTGTACCCCTCGGGGGGCCGGCTGGAGCCAGCGATCTGGTCAGGATTTCACCCAGAGCTCATTTTCTCTCTCTTTCTCTCTCTCTCTCTCGCTCTCTCTCCCACAAGCCGGATATTCTTGGCCTAGATTTCTAGCTGACGCCCGTGTATGGTCCGAAAGCGCGGCTCTAAAGTTTCGCTTTCGCTAACCCGGATTTTCAGCGGATAGGTGATAAGCCGGTGAGGACCTTCAGGGATGCTGTCTGCTTCTGAGGATACGGTACTGATAGTGTCAGATATAAATTCAGAAGCAAAAGCGCTACAGAAACGGGCCAAGTCTTGAACAATTGTTCTTTTTTGACATTTCCGCCAAAAAATTCGATGGCTGCGATGTATTCTTATCGTTAATTTTACACGTTTTGAATTTTAGTGCGTATTAAAACCATATATTTAAATGAATAGTTTATTAGGCAATGAAAACACACACGAAAATCTCATCGAAATGACATCAAAACATGCAAAACACGTGGGGGGAAAACGGGGGAGTGGAATGGCTCTCGAAGTGGGGTAAGATCGGAAGACCAAGAAAACATGCAAAGTTCGGTAAGAAATCATTATTATGAATATTATTAACTAATCACTATGTACAGCATAATGCACTTGATGCCCGGCTCCAGGCGCGGCTTTCATAAATCTGAGAAAATTAATAATTTTGGTCTAAAATCAGTGATAACAAGTTTTGTAGCTTTTATAAGTATTAGAAGGATGAAAGACAGGAGGTGGACGCAAAAAATAGATAATGAAAATGCTTTTTAAATCCTAGTTTTTGTAGCATTGCTCGAGTTTAGCCCTGGTAGTTGAACAGCGACGGCGGGAAGCTGCACATCGACTGGTCGACAGAGGCGACGACGTTCAGAAGGCGGGAGAAGCCGTTCACCCAGCCCTTCTTCTCCATCATCTCCATCACGGCGGTCTCGTAGCGCTGAAAAAAAGGTTTATGAGAAAGAGAGAGAGAGAGAGAGAGAGAGAGAGAGAGAGAGAGAGAAAGGGAGAGAGCGCGCCAGGCAGGGAGGGAAATCCTGTATTTCAGTTTTTCTAGTTTTTAATAGCAATTTTATTTTATTTTTATTCCTATAATTCTGCTATATTCCGAATTTATCTTCGTTTTCCTTAGAATTAGCAGTCCCTTAGAACGTTTTAAACGTTACACGTTCTCGTTTGAATACGCTTTTTAGTGCTAACGAAAAAGGATAAATTCGGTTTTACAATTTCATATCTCAAAAAACTTTCTTTAATAAGGGCGGGAAAGCATCAATATTCCAAAGAATTATTATTGGGAAAGCATTTGCCGATTTATTTTTTATATTAAAACATTATTAAATAAGCATCTAATCAAAAAAAGCAGCTTCCGGGACCCAAAAATGTGGGCCCCGAGGCCAGCGTTACCTCGGAAGAGCGCCCTCTCTCCGCCTACCCCTGTTGCCCATATGGTATATTGGTAAGCACTGGGGGCCCCCAGCCACAAGGTCTGGGTTCGACCCCCTTCCGCAACACCCCCATCCACCATTCGTTACTTGCTGGCCGCCCCATCGGCTCGGCGAGGGGTTTAGTGTGGTAAATGGAATCCGGATCCTTTACTGCTTGAGTCCCTGTGGCTTGAGGTAACATTGGTTCGGTACATTTTTAGGTTTTTGTTGACCTACTTTATGGGTTTAGCTCATCGTTAATACTAATTTTAACGAAAAGATCTTTAATATAACAGCTCATACTTATAAGGGCGTATTTTCCAGGTGCATTGAAGGGATAAAATGATTTTTTGGGCATTCTAAGCTTATGTCAGTTTATAGAATTTTAATCTTCATACAGTACTTATGAATCGGCTATTCAAATGGGTTGGGAAGTGATAAAACTCCCATTAAATCATTATAAGCATTAACACATAAAAAAATTTTAATTTTAGAATTAAAAGCCTCATAAACCTTTACCTGCTTGTAGACGACGGGATCCCTAGCGAACACATACATCGGGAAGTTGCAGTTCGTCGACATGACCACAAACTCGTACTCGTTGCTGGCGTTCAGCGGGCCCGTGTGGAGTACGTGGACTAGAAAAATAACAAGCGTTGATGGGCGCACCCCAAATCCTCACTATTGACGTCCTCCTTGTTGCTCGACGTGCGGAAGATGAGCTCGCCGCCGATTTGACGATGGCATAACCAGACATGATAGACGGACGGGCATTTGGGGTGCCATCGGTGGCGTACTCGAACGTCTCGAAAATGCTGCCGGCGCCTGGAAGATGGATTTTATAGAAATTTTCATTTTAATAGGCTTTTTGGGGAACTTTAAACCCCCGTAGAAAAGCAATTATCTTCGAATAAAGATGCCTCGCACCTCCATTATTGTTCTCGGACAGCTTTTTGTAGACGACCATGCTGCAGGGTCCGCGGGAGAGAGGTGGAGAGTAGACGACCTAGAATTTATTTGATGTTTGCTCTTTTGCTGTCGATTTCTCGCTCGCTTTCTCACTTCTCTCGCTCGCTACCAACCTGGTACCACTGTCCCAACAAGGCGTAGAAGTCAAAATCAACAGGCTCGGGCTTGGTCGTGCAAAGAGGGGATGACGGCTGGATGATCAAATTCTGGATCATCTCCAGATTCTCGCCAATGGCCGCCTTCTGAGCGTCAGTAAGTTCAGTGCCATTTCCGGGGGCGTCCGTCTCGTTCTTCTGCACGGAACCGGCCGTCAGGGCCTGAAAATGTTACATTTTCTCTCTCTCTCTCTCTCTCGCTCTCTCTCCTACTCTCACTCTCTCTCTCTCTCACCACCAACCTTGTAAAGCGAATTCGAGAAGAAGTTCTTCAAATCAGACCCGGGCAGCGGGCTGTTGGGCCCGGTCAACAAGTTCGAGACGGCCGATCCGATGGCAGTGGCGTTTCCGGATCCGGGCTTGCCGCCCTCCTTGACCTTCTTCGAGCCGAGGTTGATGAGGTTCAGGATGGTGCCGATGAGGCCACCTCCTCCAGTCGATGTCTCTTCGGCCAGACCTCCATATTCACCATCTCCAGGCTCGCTGTCGTCGAGGGGCACCTAGAAAATAGGTTCGAAATCTATCCCCAAGGAGCGCTGCTAGCTTGCTGATGTGAGAGCTTTTCAACCGTTCCTTAATGCGCCTTAAAACTGCACAACCCACGTCTCCAACAGATTCCGGAGCACGACGAACATCAGAAGGCAGCATGCCACCCTCAGGGACTTCTGGAGCAGCCTCGATGCTTGGCATCACTGGCACGTCATCGGCGATCAACTAAAACTTATCAAATTCTTTAGTTATTTAAATTTTTAAGTCAAGTTTAAATTAATTTACCGGTCTTCTAGAGGGCGCAGCTGTCGGCTGGTTCATCATCGGCGCTTTGGGCAACTTTGGGAAGACGTTCGGGATTCCGGCGATCGAGTTGCCGTCGGTGTTGATGTGCTAAATTAAACATTTTAGTTTCTGTTTTCCCAAAGGACCACTGCTAGCTCTCGCTTTCTGCAAGTATATGCGAGGCTCTTAAAGATCATACCTGTTGCTTGCCATCACGCTGAAGCCCAGTCCCAGCGATCTGCTTGTGGTTGTTCAGCACCGAGAAGCCGGATCCGAAGCCTGGTGGCAGGCCGTTGGCGGCTTCTAAAAGTTAAGAATAAGCCTTCCGCAACTCTGGATTGATTCTGACCTCCTTCAGGAGCCGTGAAGAACTGCTCCAAGGTGCGCTCAAGTTTCGAAATCTCATGTCTTGGCTGAGCAGCACCACCCGCGGCGGCAACAGGTGTGCCGTGTCCGATTTCGTAGGTTTTCTCGGGGAAGAAGCCGCCGGGCCTAAAAAAACCGGCGTAGAGAAAGCCTGAGTCGAAGCCTGAGCTACAGCTTAAGCCTAAGCCAAGCTTGTGCCAAGCCGAAGCCTAACCCTAGCATTATCCTAAGCCAAGGCCAAGCCAAGGCAAAGTCCACGCCCAAGTCTAAACCAATTAATCGAGTTTTCCTACCTTGGGCCCAGCAGCGAGTCGACAAGTTCGCGGGCGTGCCCGTCAAGTTCAAAGTATTGGCGGAACTCTGGGGGCACCGTGGGCTTTGGGTCAAATCTGCAACGAAAAAGTTCGAGGCGCCGATTGAGGGAAATGAGGCCCGAATCCAGGCCAAGGCCGGCCGGGGGGGGACCCTATTTGGGCATTGATGCGCAGAAAAAGGGCAAAAAAAATGCGCACTTCGACGGCTACGAGGACGTACTACGTAATACTGACGGAAATCACCAAAAAATTCGGATCTTCGGGTTTATCGATTTGTTTAGCTTCAAATTTTAGGATTTTAAGCTTCAAATTTAAGAATTTTTTAGCTTTTAAGGACCGTTATTACCGTAAACCGTCAGTTTCAAATTAATCAAAAAAAAGTGCGATAAAATAAGTATTTCGACCTGTCGGGTCCGAACGGCTCGAGCTGCGCCTGGGCGGCGGCGACGAGCCCAAGCAGGGCGAGGGCCAGGTGCATGGCGGCTCTGAAAAATACCAGAATTTAACGATTATCGATTGACTTAAATAGGCAAAAAATGAAAACAACAATAAATTTGCTAAGAGCTTGAAGAGATCGAAGGAATGCCATGACATAACATAGCATAACATGACAACTTTTTAAATTATTTAAACGATAAAAAGAAAAGCGCTTTTCGCTTTTACGCTAAGATCAATATATTAATTCGGCGAGATAAAGCCTGAAGAAAAGCACTAACTCCCGACCCGAAAAGCCCAAAAAGATAACCCAATTCCCCCCGGCATCAGTCCGAGATCCAAGCCCCAATTTTCACCCACCCCAGCAGCAAGGCGGTTCCCCCCGGGTGTGTTGACCTAGTGCCCGCTCACCCATGCTGATAGCAACCACCCGGAAAAGGGAAAATTGAAAGTGTACGCGGCGCTACACATCCCAATCAACTACCGTAGCCAAGCTGATGGGCCTGGAGAAACCTAGAGAAAGGCTGAATTTCTCGGTGGCGCGGGGCGCGGTGGCGGCTTTGCACGCCGAGGCACGGCGACCCGAATTTTCGGCGGCGGCGCCTGGTGATCCCGGGATTTCCTAGGGAGCGAGAGGTGGTGGAGGACGTGGACGAAGTGAAGAACTGGGTCGAGCCCTTCGGGGAAGAAAGACCGTCACGCATGTTCGTTCCCCGGGCCTACGGATATTCCCCAGGAGCGCGCGCCTATGGCTATTTGGAAAATCGGATTCCGCGAATGGAGATGTGGACAGCCGGGTGCGAACAGCTAGGGCGGGTTACTGGTTATGGACAGAGTAGTAACATAAACAATCTGGACTTTCAGGGAAAAATCCAGAAATTTTTGCCAAATTTTGATGCTTCCTGATTCTCTTACGGTTTCTCTCCAGCTCTCGCTCTCTCTCTCTCTCTCTCTCTCTCTCTCTCTCTCTCTCTGTTTTCTTTAATTGTCCCTCGCCGATTAAATTTTTTTGTTGTTTTTCCGTTCACTCACTTTTCTCTTGTCCATCGCGTGTCCTTACTCGGTCGCTCTCTTGCTCTCTCTCCCCCCTCAAGCTCTCTCTCACTCTATTTCTCTTTCTCTAACGTTGACGCTCTCGACTTCGCCCTCGAGTAAAACGCGAATTCTGATCTCTAAACATCCAAAACGCAAAAATTTCATGAGATTTATTCATCAAGCCATTATCAAACGGAATGTATGCAAATGAGACCCGGGGGGTAAGCAAAAAAAGTCGAAACATCCATAAGTTCATCTACTGCTTGGCGAGCTCCTGGAGGATCTTTGTCGGGTTCTTGAAGAAGTCGGCCAGAGGGGAATCCCCGATTGCACTCTTCTCCGTGACCGCGTTCTGCTTCGACTTCTCGAGGGCCTCTTGGTTCTTCAGCACCCTGCATGATCAACCATGAATCGATCGATTTTTGCTTTACGAGTCTCGTTTAAGGTCTAATAAAGCCAAACCTCCTGGCGAAGACCTCTTTTTCGGTGGGCCACTCGCAGTCCTGGCCCTGGTAGATGGGCTTCGGGGAGTTCCAGAAGACGTTGCCGCCGAAGCCTTTGGTCTTCAGGTAGGTTTTCACCTCCTCGTCGTATTTCTAGAGAGGTAGTGTTGAAGTTCATGGAATTTTTTGTTGATTTCTCTCGCACTCTCTCGCTCTCTTTTTCTCTCTCGCGCCCGCTTTCCATGTCTATCTCGCTCTCTCTCTCTCGCTCTCTCTCTTTTCTCTCTCTCCCTTTCTCTTACCTGATAGTACGTATTCGGATCCCTAGCCATCACCATCAATGAAAGTCGGTTTGAGTCCGAAACGACGAGGTACTGAATTCCTTCCGGAGCCTCAGTTCCCATCGTCTCGTTGTCGTATCCGGGCCCCGCGTGCAGGATATAGACTAAAATCAAGAATATTTAGAAATTACGTAATTCCCTTACATTGTCTGGGGTAGAAGTACTCTTCGGTATACATCCAATACTGGCCGGGGCCGACCTGAAACAAAAAGTTTAAGTTTCGTTTCCGACTTTTCAAGTTTTTTTCGGGATTGCCTAATTATATTTCAAAAGTTATTAATGACAGGTATTTTATTACCTTGTTCATATCGCGCTTGTACGTCTCGATCGGCCCGTTCTTCGACACCACCCTGTAGGCCTCCTCAATCGAGAAGCCGTCCGAGCCCATCACCGAGTTTTCTTTGACTAAAAATATTTCTGTAATTTTATGCTTTTTAAAGGGATCCTGGAGGGACTGGAAAGTGCCAAAGTCAACCTTAATATTGACTAGTTCTTGACAATTAATCATCAAAGCCCCCAAAAAGCGCCAAATCTTATAGAAAAACGTCGTTTAAACGCGTCGTTTCCCATCCCAGGTACGTGTCGAGACCTAGTCGAAATAAGGGTCAATTACAACGCTTACGAGTGCCTTTAAAACGCTAGAATGGATTGCTCGAGGTATGTAACTTACAGTACGACACCTGGCAGAACATCTGCGTCCTGAAGACATCAAAGTTGATGGCCGCCTTGTACATTTGATGCCATTTGCCCATGAACAGCTCGGCGGGCAGGTTGATCGTCTCCACGGTCTGGCCAACCATGCTGCCCAGGCCGCTGATGATGCCGGTGATCGTTTGGAGGTCCATCTGAAGGGGATTGAGGTAAATTTGGCGACGAATTCGACAAGAAAATTCGGCCTTAAAAAATACGGGTACATTTTTACGCCGTAATTTCATGCATTAATCACTTCAAAAATGTTCCATGATCATAGAAATTCAAAAATTCTCCTTAAAAAGCATCTTCTAAACGGTTAGGTTCTGTATTTATGCGATAAGTCGAAAAGTTTTGTAAAATCAACCAAAAAATTCTAAAAATTGACCCACCGCATTCTCGCCAATGGCGGCGACGGCCTGCACGGCCAGGAGGGCGCACAGTATCCTCATTGTCGACGGGGAAAATTACTGCAATTTCAAGCTTTTACCAAAATATAGATCAACGGCAAACGCTAGATAGCGATATCCACAAGGATGGGAAAGGACTTTCGCCTATTCGCCCCCCGAAACGGGCTTCCTCCCCCCGGACAATCCTGGAATATGGGTCAGTGGGCTGACAGATGGACATACAGAGAGACATCTACACAGACAGGAAGACATACAGATAGAGATACAAACAGACAGACACGATCGAATTGTGAGCCCACACCGATTTTACGGGTGATAACGCGGGTTTAGGTGCGTGGAGACTGTCTTTCTTTTAAAGGGATCGTGACAGGATGATTCGTAACGGCTACGTCGCGTGTCCGCTTACGGCATCGCGCGTTGCGTAATGGTCTCGGGGGCTCCTCTACCATCACGCGACGCGCACGCACGCATCGGAACCATCCGCTCCATTGCATTTTCGCTTTTCGCTTTCCACTTTTTAGTCGCGCAAAACCCGGCAAACGCGTGACGCATACGTCACGGGTGCGTAGCGGGTGCGTAGCGAATGCGTAGCGGGTGCGTGGCACATGAGTAGCGGATGCGTTACGGATGCGCTGCGGATTCGTTGTGGATGCGTCACGGATGCGTAGCGGATGTGTTGCTCGTGCGTCGCGTTTGCGTAGCGGTTCCAAGCCTGTAATCGGCTTTTTTCAACTATAGCAGGGGATTCTAGCCTTATGTTGTTCTCCCCCTCTCGCTCTCTCTCTCTCTCTCTTTCTCTCTCTCTCTCTCTCTCTCTATCTAATTTGTTGTCTATTCTATCCTGCAATATCCTCTGTGAAAGACAACATTTATTAAAATTTGAACACGTATCACAGGGGTGACATCCGAGGTAAGTCGGCATTTTTAAGCCGCTTGTTTCGGTGCATGAGGTTATACAGTGGGCGATCGACCGCAAGGAGGACAGTATGAAATTGATACTACACTTTGAAAACAGGAATGGTGGCTGGTATTCGAGGGAGGGTTGGGAATGAGGTCCGAGATCGGGAATTCCTTCTTATTATCGTCGTTATTGGCGGCAGTGTTTAGCCGAACACCTCGAAGGTCGAGTCGGCGTACTGGCACGAGGAGTACGAGGCGGGCTGGAGGAGGTTGAAGGCACGGACGAAGCCGTTGATGAAGCCCTGAAGGTTTGAGGGTGGGTTTTAAAGAAACCTTTTGTGTCAAGTCGATCAGCTGGCTTGCTTGAACTGCTCGAAGACGCTCTACTCGTACACGTTCCGGTAACGATCGAATTTATTGAGATTTTGAAGCCAGACCGATTAGTTTGGCTGAATTGCTTGAAGACGCTCTATGCAGCCGCTTCTGGCTTTTTCTAAGGGGGTTCGAGCTAGAGCGCTGCCGAACTTCTTGAAGCTGTCCGAGGCACTTTTACCGTAGCTTGTATGCTTTTCGACTCGATTCAATTTGACCCACCTGATCTTCCAACCAGCGCAGCACCTCCTTCTCGTACTTCTTCTTGAAGGTATCGGGGTCACGCACAAGCACCGTAACCGGGTACTTCACCCAGTTGGACACAATCGCGTACTCGTACTGCGAGTTGCCGAACGGATCCTTGCCCTCGGGGCCGAGCTTGTACACCCAGACTGAAAAGGCAGGAAAATTACATAGAATCGTGTGGCTAAGACGACCAGAACCAACGCTCGACACGTTCAACAAGTGCAAGCCGGGGCGCAAAACTTACAAGGCTGAGCATCACTCGTCTCGGAAGAGTGCAGCTGAAGCATGGCGTCCTTGTTTCCGCCGCGGAAGGCATATCCGATCGAGTACTTGACCGGGCCGAACTCGCTGCCCTCGCGGTAGATCTTCAGGGCGGTGAACGTGGCGGTCTTGTCGTTCTTGGTGAGGCCTCCGTCTAAAAAAAGTAGTTCAGCATCGTAATTTTCTAGTTGAACTTCCTGAATTTGCTGACCAAAACTTACAATGGTGGACAACACATCGTTGCTCGCTAGCACGTGGCGAATTGATACCCTCGAACCAGCGGCCCATGAATTTGGGGAGCTCGAACTTCTCGGGAGTAGAGGGGAGCAGGGCGTCGGTGACGTTGTCGGCAAGAGTCTGTAAATTTTGACTTTGGTCTTGTTGAAGACGCTGCCTGCTCTGTTTTTGGGGAGTTTACCATGTGGACGACGGAAAGCAACTTTTGCGATATTTCCACGAGCCAAAAATGACCAACCTGGAGCTGCTCTGGCGGAAGAACATCAGCAAGGGTGGTGCCGTTGGAGATTCGGCGGGTGACTTGGCCGATCAGGCTGACGACGTCGATTTGGCCTTCTTGGTTTCGTGGGATTCCGCCGGGGAGTAGGGGAATTCCGGGGATACGGGGAAGTCCAGCGTGGGTGGGGCCGTTTCCGCCTGAAAAACGAGGGTTTGAGGAAGCCCGACTTCGACAAGTTCAACACGGGGTAAGCAAAAAGTTGGATTTTAGCTCAAGCGATCGATCTCAACAAGTTCACCGCCGGTATGATGATGCCCGCTAATCGATATCTACGTCTCATCCTTACCTCTCCTCCAAGAGCGGCAGCAATTCCGGACAAGGCTCGTTGAGTGGCAGAAGGTTGACGGCGGATGTTGGAGGAAGAGGAGATGGCGTCAGACTGGACAACGGGTGAGTCTCCGGGGGTGTGCGTCTTCACACCGGCGGCCTGAACATATGACATTCGCTACCGTCCCAACTTACGCGATCACGATGCACGACAGTTTCGGCTCCATCAGTGTTGGCCTCACCACGAGCCTGGGGTCCGGTTCCGAGCAGGTTGGGCAGCGACTGCGACAGGGCGTCGGACACTCCGGTTTCCTGAATAATGGGAGTTACTAAATTCGGCGCATAACGTACCTTGATCAATTTCCTGACGGACGTCGAGAGGAGTCCGATGAGTCCATTGTCTCCGGGCTTATCGGCTGGCATTCCCATGCCCGAGCTGGGGTGGTACTCGCTGGGGTTGCTCACCTCGTTCAGCACCTGGCTCATCTGGCTGGCAAAGTTGGGGTTGGCCTGGGCGAGCACGTCTAAAGGAGCGTAATGTAGGCGGTGGGGTCAGCTTTGCAATCATAATATCGAGATTCATAATGCCGAATTTTTCCAATGTCGACATGTCATAATGCCGAACATTTGATATGTCGAAATTACAATCTGTCGAAGATTTTGTCTAATGGGTGATTTTCCGGAATTATGAAATTTCGGCATAACGAAGAATCCGAACGAACGATTCGAAACGTCCGCCAATATGCAAATTCGACATTCTGACATTCTTGACTGTATGAATTTCGACATTGTGATTTTCGCCATTTTGAAATTATCATGAATTTATCATGAAATTTCGACGTTATTTAGACCATTCGCTCAGCATTACTTACCAGGCGAGGGCTGCGCCGGAACAGGTTGCCCGTTGATATGTTCGGCCGGAAGTCCCTGAATCGGGACACCAGCAGCGCGCATCTCCTTGATGGCGCCGTTGAAGCCATCTGGGTGGCTTCCGGTCAGCCCGGGGATTCCGAACGAGTCGAGCCCGAAGAATTTGATGAGCTCAAAGAATTGAGATATTGTCGAACTCGTTGAAGTCGTGGTACCTGGTTCTGAACATCCGGTGGGATGGTGGCGGAGGGGCGGGTGGGGGAGTGCCGTCATTTCTGGGGACGAACTGCTGCATGCCAGGGGGAGAAGCCGTCTGGACGGGCTGCATGGCGGCCGGGACAACGGGTGGCTGGAAAAGGACAAATTCTATGAATTCCGATTGCTAATTAGCACTTGTCTACTATGCGAACACGTCACGGCGGCATTGCGTGCCGCGCACTCTCTGGACACCGGTTTGACAAAATTTCCTGTATTGCCAATCCCTTTAAAGGAATCGTGTCACCAAGCAAATCCATACCTGCGTCACCGGGGCGGCAACCATCGGCGGGGCGGCCGTTTCGACTGGCCGTGGTGGCACTTCCATGCCGCCAGCAATTGGGGGTGGCTGGATGGCACGTGGGGCCGAGACCTAAAAAATAATGTTTATGAACTCAATTGACGGTATTTCAACTTGATCTAAATCATAGCGTCTTTTTAACAGCCTAACCTCCTCCAAGAACTTTGGCTTGCGCGGCTGGGGCTCGAGGCGGATGACGATGGGTTGGTTGGGGTCCTCCTGGGCGGCCACCAAGGCCAGCAGGGCCAGAAGGCCGATGAGACGGCTCATCCCTGGAAAAAGAGGAACTAAATACGATTTATAAAGGCTACAATATAATCAAAGTATGAAACCTATGCTGAAGGTATGGAGAGAGAGAGAGAGTGGAAGAGAAATCGGCTCAATAAGGACTAGAAATTATCTATCTCTCAAAGTGACCTACGAAGTACACCAAGCTACGCAGTACGTCAATTGGAAACTTCGGATCTCTCAAGACCTTAAAAAATGACGCTACCGAATCCTTTTCAAAGTGATTTTCGAGCGCCGAAACACGCAGAGGTGCCGTAAAGAGTCGTAAATCGTTGGCAATCCCCCACAAAACTAGACCCCCCGGATGCCTCGGGCAATTCTGGTGTTCCCCCAATCGACCCAGTCACTACACAACTGGTCCTTTTCCGGCCATCCCGCGCCAAATCCTAAAAAATTGTACACAAGTGTCCTATAGACGGGGGTGTCAAGATCCTAAAAAAGGCTGGTATTGTTTGTTTTTTAAGCTGGAGAATCTCGTATCTGAAGACTGATCCGGCTGAAACGGTCAATATTTTCATATTTTTTAAAAATTGGCCCCAATATATAAATAAATCGCTTAAGACAGGCGTCAAAAAGCTCTTAGAAAAACTGCAAATTTAGATTGACATTTTTAAGTTATTTAGGCGCCCTAAAATTTTATTGGAGCCCCTAAGCGTGAAAAAGGCTGAAAATGGCTGAAAAAAACAAGAAATTATCTCATGCAAAGTTTCAACTTCACAGATCCACAAAATCGATAGAAATCCACAAAATCTAGATCCAAAAATGTCAAAAAAATCGTGAATAGACCTCTAGAAATTTCGGCCCTGACCCTCCATCCGTATCGTTCGGATTAAGCCAAAAACCCGACTCGCAAACCGAGCTTATGGTTGCTGCGGGGGTGAAAAGCATTAGATGTCGAGTGAATCTGCTTGTGTGTATGGAGAAGCGGGTCAAGGTTTCCCCCCAGCGCTCCCGCGCGCATCCGACACGCCGCAGGGGCCGAATTTCGCTCTCAACGAGAAGAGGGTGGCGAATGACCCAGATTTTGAGGTCTCGCGGATGGATCTGGATCTGTTCGGGGAGGCTTGTCTCGAAAGAGCCATTCTGGCTTTCTCTCTCCCTCTAACTCCTTCTCTCTCTCTTGTTCTCTCCCTACGGTATCACTTTCATTCCCAGATTCACTGCACTGACCTGGAATCCTAGGGTCGAGATGGAGCTGCGGATTCCCAGAAAATGAGTGAGGGGCCGTCTGAAAATAATCACTACTTAGTATTTTTCTAACTTGTAGATCGCAAATGGTTGCAGCTAGTTTGACGGCCTCCGTTTAGGGATGCGAGAGAGGAAAGAAAGAGACAGAGCGAGAGAGAGACAGAGAGAGGAAGAGAGAGAGAGAGAGAGAGAGAGATAGAGAGAGAGAGAGGGAGGGAGGGCGAGAAAGGGATAGAGAGAGCGATAGAGAGAGAGAGAGAGAGAGAGAGAGAGAGAGAGAAGGGAGAGAGGAAGATTTTCTGTAGATTAGATGGATGATACGCGCCGTACCCATAACGCGTTCTTGGCGCTCAAATGTCATCTGCCCTTTAGCTGGCGTCTACGTTGGCAATCTGCTTGTGTAAACTCCATGATTGTAATATCTTAAATATTAAAATATACCTCTTCGCCGGCATTTCGCTCGGTTGGTCCCCTCCCTCAAAAGGTGACCAACAGATGCTTTCTCATCCCCATGAAGAAAGCTCCTGACGCAGCAGAAGTCTGTCCCTTGTCCTAGGCAATTCAATTCCTGAGTCAGGAACAGTCCGGAAATGCCGTTCAGGGCTGATTAGCATTGAAGTCTGGCAATTCGAAATTCCTTCCGCTTTGCTCATAATTGCAAAAGAGCGTTCTCGATTTCTTACAATATGACTCATCAAGTGTCCGGCGGAAGCGCGAAATGGGATGTACCTTATGTGTGACGCCTGGTTTATAAGCAGATGTTTTGATGAGGGGGCGCGTCTCCTTCCCGAAACACGTCATCCGGATATTATAAAAGCCATCCCAACGAGGGCAAGCGGCTTTTCGGCTTTCGTCCACGATGAGAATATTCCTTTTTCTTTGCCCTATTCCTGATCGTGGCCGCTGCCGCACCGGGTCGAAGAATCGACCGATCTGCCCCGCGTGTGAGTGATATTTTAATTTTTTAATTTTTATAGTTGTGAGCTCCACCTCAATTGTGTCTCTCAATTGATCAAGGGTCATGTTTCAAAAAATAAGCAAATACCAGGGTTGAAAAGCCGCTTCGCGACTTTTCAACCCTGGCACCGACTGATCCGATAATATTCTTCACTTTGCATAATTCTCACGATTTTCGATGACAAAAAAATGAGAAACGCTGCCTCTCATGCCTTATATAGGCTACCGCAACTTCCGGCATATGCTAATTGTTTCCTAGCAAAGAGGGTGGCCCATTTTTCAACAAAAAACCTAATTTTAACGTCGAAAAATGCTCATTTTTGAAAGTTTTATTGGTATGCAGTCATCCCCAGGCCATTACGCACCTAATGACGTATCAAACATGTCCTTAACTACTCCCCTTATTGAGATACTACTGGAACAACCTGACGGAAGTTGCATGCAAAGGTACACAGACACACACACAGACACTATTTTTATATATATAGTAGGATAGTAGGATGACATATATATAGTAGGATGACATCCGTTGCAATAGAGCTTTCCTTTTCCCAGTGTAAAAATGTACGTTCAGGCATCCCTTCTCGGCTTCCAGAACCCAATAGTCTGCAGTGACTACACCACGCCGCCACCGGGCTGTGTGGCATCAGAAAGTGTGTTTATAATTTTTCCATGTCGGTTTTGAGAGTTTTATCATAATTTCTATCTACTAACAAATTTAGATTACCGATGGCGACGAATCTAGGGTGCAAGAAAGACTAGGAAAAACATGATCGGTGTCCCTTCCCATTCATCGCAGGGCCTGAGAGATTCGTTGCAATAAATTTTGATACAATTACAGTGTTAGCTGAATACGAAGCCAAGTACATTGCGGTATTTAGCACATTATAATAGCCACGAAAAATTATGCTAAACATAGCAAAAAAACCTGAATTTTTAAGGCTCTTGTTTTTTGCCTGTTCTATTAGTGCCTCCAGGTATTTATTTTTTTAATGAAAAGGTGGGTATATTTGGCGGAAAATTTTTACATAAAAATTACGCTACGGAATTCAAGCATCCAAATTTTGAAAATTCACTTAAGGACTTGGCCTTTTCACCCCTCAATTAATGCTTTCTGGCATACCATCGGTTTATCCACTATAATAAAAAAGTAAAGAGGTCTGTGTGTGTGTGTGTCTGAAGCCGAATTCAACTCGAAGGGGAAAGGAGCTAGAGCTTAGGTCTCTTCGGATTCGGATAGAGCGTGGTCAGAAACCCCCAAACTGATAAAAAAATTATGAAAAAGTTTTTGTTTAAACCAGGGTTGAAAAACCGCTTCGCGGCTTTTCAAACCTGGCCCCGTCCAGGACCTGTGAAAGTCCTTAATTTGCATGTTTCTTCCTGAATTCTAGCAAGAAAAAGTGAAAACGGCTCCTCTGTCCCTTTATATAGGCTCTTCCAACTTCCGGCGTATGGTAATTTCCCCTAACAAACAGGGTTTTACAAAAACCTATTTTTAATAGCGAAAACCACAATTTTTCAAAATTTTTATGTGTGTGCAGTCGATTCCGGACCATTCTAAACCTAGTGTCGTTTCTTCCCTATCCAAAAAAACCCTTCCCCGAGGCTGTAGGTGCGTAACATCCAAACGGAAGTGCATGCAAATATACACACACACACAGACACTATTTTTTTATATACAGTGTGTATCAAAAAGATAGAGCCACTTTGTTTTTCACCCTTAACTTCATGCCGTGGTATTTTGAAGCGAAGCTAAGCATACACATCTTGTAGCCCCTGAGGTAAGGCGCATCTTTCCGTGTAGTCGAAATTTTTCTGTGCTCGAGATTAAGCTTTTTATGATGAAAACAAGAAAATAGAGCCAAAAACACAAGCAACAAAGATAGATCCATTACCTGCATCCACCACACACGCGCTCTCCGCTAGCAAATTACATGGTAATTGTCTTGCAAATCGTGCGCTTCATTCAAATCTACGAGGGCCGCAGAAAAATTTGATTGAATAGCAGCAATAAAAAGGCTAATTCTTTATCAAGTGTTGGCTTCACTATGCGCGTTTAGAAATGGCTAGAGCGATAAAATTTTTTTCTGCGGCCCTCGTAGATTTGAATGAAGCGCACGATTTGCAAGACAATTACTATCTAATTTGCAAGCGCAGAGCGCATGTAAAGTGGATGTAAATTTTGGCCTCTATCTTTTGATACTTGTGTCTTTGGCTCTATTTGCTTGTTTTCATCATAAAAGCTTAATCTCGATCACAGAAAATTTCGATCACACTTTGAAGATGCGCTTTTTCAAGGGCTACAAGATGTGTACGCTTAGCTTCACTAAAAATACCACGGCGTGCAGTTAATGTTGTGAAAACCAAGGGTCTCTATCTTTGATACGCACTGTATAGTAGGATTATTAAATTAACTTTGAAAGTTTTTTTCCTTAGTAAAAGGGGGATTTGGAGGTTGGGGGTGATTTTGGACATAGTGAGCCAGGTCGCGCGCGTTTCGTGGATGAAAATTTTCACGGGGGATTTCACTTCTTTTTCTCTCATTCCATCCGGAATGGTCGTTATTTTTGTTTTTAAGGCGATCTGTGGCCATGGGGGGTATCTGTAGCTATCGGGAAGGTATTTAGGTCGTTTTTGAAGGGCATTTCAGCCATGGGGGTATCTGGGGCCAGCAGGAAGGTATCGATGTAGTCTTTATGGGAATTCATTAGGGGAGGTATCTAAAGCCATCAGGAAGGTATCGATGTAGTTTTTTTGAGGGGATTTTTGCTATTGGAAGTATCTAAAGCTGGCAAAGTAGCTAAGCTTTAGCAAGGGTTGGCCATAGAAGGTATCTG